TAATTTCACCCCTACTTTGAATAGCTAGACACGGGGAACAACTTACTTTGTATTGAAGAGAGTATGATTTGTGTTTTTGGTGCATCTCCACATAGGTAACATCTAACATGAATCATCAACTTTGAACTGTAAATGATTTTAAAAGCCCACGCTGATATTTTATGTTTCCATTAGTGAGTGTTCGAGAAAGTCCATACATTGATTTTGGTGCACACAAGCCTACGTGTCTAATTCAAGAATGCTATACATTGAACATGGTGCACATGGGCATTATCCTCACTTGGAGAAATTTAAAGAAGGCCAAGGGCCTTGGCCACCTTTGCTAAAGTATCTTCGGATGCTAATCGTGGTTTAGTATTGGCATATTCATGTTGCTAATTAAGTTCACGTGATTTGGAGTATTATTTCATAATCATGCTTAAAGATTCTTCTACTTGGTCAAACAAAAATCCCACACTGAAATCAATGTAAAAAAACAAGTGCCTCGGAAATGCAACTTCACTCAGAGTCAAGAGTCAGATCAGATGTATCATGACAAATCCTAGGTGTACTGAAAAGAAAAGAAAAGAAAAAACGTCTTCTGTATGCAAAGCATTCCATGTGTGAAGAACTTAATAAATTGGCATAGACATAAATGCCATATGGATATGAGCATATAGGTACAACTGTCAATAAATCATGGGGGTTATTTTCTTTATGAAATTTTTTTTTTATGTATAGCAAAATTCTAGGTAATCCTTAAAACAATTTTTTTTTCTTTATCACACCAAAAGAGCAGATTAATAAGTACTTTCGATGTTTGTAAATGTATAATGTTTAAGGTTTATACATTCTAATTAAGTAATTATTTTTTTTCTGAAATAAACTCACTGTTTGATTATCCAAAATATTTCATTTAATATAGAAAATGAATCTGCAAAATTTAAATAGTCAAAAATATTTTTTAAAAAAATAATTGTGCATAGAAAAGTAAAAACATCACTTAATAATAAACAAAAAAAAAACTCTTAAAACCTCATGACTCAATCATGAAATTTTGAATGCACTTTCTTTGGAAGGTTTCTTAGTACACTAGTAAAGCTATTGAAAGTTGGGTGATTATCTATATTTTCATTTCAGCACAAATAACGGCTTTCATGCTCTAACTGAGAGAGAACAATGTTTTCCCATTCATTCATTCAATGAATTGAATAATATTTTATTTTCTTTTTTAGTTTTAAGAAAAAAAAAATTCATATCATAATTTATTTTACTTCTAAATTTTTTTCGTAAACTGAAAAAAGAGAAAAGATCTATTACTAGTTTTAAAGAAATTGACATTTCAATAGAAAATAAAATCTCTAATTT